TAACAAACATAACACTTGAAGCCCTTTAAATCATGCCATTACTTATGTATGTACACTACATTCCAGATTGCTCAAAATGTCATGACTGGATTATGTGCAATTTTTTGACACCCCATGCATAACAACCATTGTGAATCTCAGACATCATATTGTATAAGAGTTATCCGGAAAGTAAAGATACAAGCCCAGTAAAAAGGCAAGGTCCCCCCCTCAGAAATGGCAGTGATGCCATGTGAGATAGGTACCATATGACAGGGCTGAGTTAACTGGCCACAGTCAGGGCAACGTTGTACTCACAGTTTGTGTGTTAAAATGGCTGTGTTGATCCAATATCCCGCCAAATGTGAAGTTTGCGCAGTGATTCAATTTCTTCATGCAAAAAGGAAAACTGCCACTGAAATTCATTGCCAAACTTGTTTCTGTTTATGGTGAAGATGTTACGAACAAGCAAAACGTGGTGAAATGGTGTCATGAATTTGAAGCGGGAATAAATAATAAATAATAATAATAATGAAATAAGGAGTGTAAGGATATTCACAGTCACTGATGAAATCATCCAAACGATTGATGAAAACATTCATGCTCACAGATGTTTAACCATTACTGAACTTCACCAACAATGTCCAGAAGTGTCAAGAACTGTTCTTCCTGTCTGAGAGAGCAGGTGGGAGATTTCTATAATGCTGGAACAAAAACTAGTTCCCAGAGTCACTAAGTGAATTGCGATCCATGGTGACTGTGTTGAAAAGTAAATAAAGCTATTATTTGTCACGGCGATGACTATGAAGAAAGTCGTCTTCTGGGTTTTGGCGCCGTGTATTCTTTGTTTTGGCCGATGTTTCGGACGAACATTGGCCAAAACGAAGAATACACGGTGCCAAAACCCAGAAGACGACTTTCTTCAAAGCTATTGTTGTTTACATTCCCTACAATACGGACAACACTTTGTAAGATGAGGCACTGACTAAACAATTACGTAACATTAATTTACTACATCTACATCACGAGCATCCTATACAATCTTATACATAAAGAAAAAAAAAAGGAATACTCAAATTTATCCATGGGAATGCAATGAAATTACAAAACCAACGACTCATTCGATGATATAAAACATCAATTTAAAATTTTATTCTTGTTTTACACTATAATTTCCATTTTATATAATCTGATTTATTGTATTTTTTATGTCAAGTGTTTTATATGATTAATAGTATTGTATCCAATTGTAATAGTATTGCAGTTCAGTGGTGTATATATGTTAACCGTGTATTTGCCTGATGATGGCTATTGACAGCCGAAACATGTAGCAGAGCTGTAGCTAGGCACTGAGCTTGATATTTGTTGTGTTGTGATGGTTAATAAAGAAGTTGTAAATAAAGGTGCGTTGTAAAAGTGCTACAAGGGAATGCATCCAAAAAATGCTTTAAAAATATTTTCTAGAATTTGTATCTTTACTTTCCAGATATACTTGGTATGTAATTATACAATGTACATTATGGAAGAGGCACATAAACTGCACATGAGCCGGTAAGTGTTTAACTTTCTAACTCACTCAAATGAACAAATTTATGTTACCATGCTCACAATGAAGCTCTTCATAACATGCATGGGTAGGACCATTTGGTATTTCTGCACCTATTACATTATGCTGGTAGCACAAATTTTACCTCATGTTCATCACACATCATAAACTGCCATCATGAAATAAATTTCACCACCATATAGTCACAAAAAGAAGAAAAGGAACAAATTTAGTTTGCTGGAATTTCATACTGTCACATGAAATGACTATGCTGTGGGTTATGATACGAAATGGTTTTATTACACAGTGACTCCTCTTAGTTACAATTGATTACAAAAGGCCTTTTAATCCCCACTGCTTGCTTTCACCTGCCCTCCTCTGCCATCTTCCTCATGATGTCTTCTTCTCAGCTCTTCACTGCACCTAACTAGAAGCATGCTCCAAACTCTGGCTGGTCTGGCATGCTTTTTATATATCCTTATAGCAGACTGCCAGAGTGATACTGTTTTCAATGATACCCCAACTGTTGTGCATGTACGAGGCTGACAAGGATTTCAGATTATTGCCTCTTAGTAATAGACACCTTCTGATATTTCTGCAGTTCCAATATTCTGCAATCTATGGATTTCAGACATCCCATCACAGCATACAATGTACATTCTCTTTGTTCTTTAATATCATTAACAAGGTCACCGCTACCCTATTTTGCTTTCTGATGAGCTGTTAACTTGACACATATTATATTTTGCTTCATACCCAAGTCTAAGCTCTTGGGTTTCATTCCAATAACTAAGGGTTTTAAAAAATTCACTATGTGAAAACTGAAAAAGAGCAATGTTCATAGGACACAACTTTACACATATGCCTGTGTAGCTGTATTCTGCACATAATTATCCTACCTAGGTCAGTGCAAGCTCAGGGTAAGAAGATACCTGTGCAACAAAGCGGAGAAAATACACTGCATAGTGCCCCTAAACTAGAATTTAACTAGCCAGGTGACAGAGTACGCAAAAAAGAAGTGAAAGGGCTACTGAATTGAATGGATATCATGTAATGAACATTTCTCAGCACTTACAGCTGGACCGAACAGGTTACAGGTCTAGACTTAACTTCACAAACAAAACTGCACATAAACATCGTGGTGACTACTTATGAATCACTTCTCGGTGAAGATGCCTGAAAAAAGTTCCTTGCCCGCAATGTAAAGAGACTGATGGTTCCAATTGTTTTTGCCACTATAGTGAAGTCCTCATTATAGGCCATATTTGTTCCATGAATGATCCCATTGCAGTTTTCATTTGATTGTGCCTGTCATTAAGAATCTGCTGGCACTTGCAAACTCAAGTCATAATACTGAAGTTCAGTATTTACAACTTTGTCCATAAAGTTCTAACTTATTGTGGCATATTTGCTCTATGCAGTTGTTCAGTTGTATCGAGTGAATGGAATCACGACAGTTGAAGACTGGCAGTGACTACCACAGGAGAAGTAATTGGGATACTGAAGTTGTGAGTAATGTAACTGTGGATAAAAGCATACAATAAAAATTCGCTAGATCCAAGACTAGCGTGAAGTTATTTGTCACGTCACATACAGCCAACACGTGACATTATTAACTAATGGTTCCTATCCTCTTCAAAGTAGTTCCTTCCGCAGACAATACACCGTTGTCAGCGTTTCAACAAGCCCTGGAAGCAGCTGGTGAATGCCTCTTTCAGAATGGCTGTGACCTCCATTGTCACAGCTGCTTGAATAGCTTCTATATTCTCATGTTACCGTCCTTTTAGCGTTATTTTCAGTCATAGAAATAGAAAAATAGCATGGAGACAGGTCAGGGGAGTATAGGGGATGTTGAAGCACAGTAACGTTGTGTTTATCGAGAAATCTGCTGACACTTAGAGCTGTGTGTGGTCTCGCATTCTCATGCAACGAAGTCCACTGTCCAGATACCCATAGGTCAGGACGATGTCAAAGTACCTCGCGCATATGCCTGAGTTCGGAGATGTAAAATTCTTGGTTGACACTTTACCCTTGCAGAACAAATTCGTGATGAACAATACCCCTGGAATTGAAAAAAATGATTATCATAGTCTTAGTTTTTGATGGCTGCTATCTCACTTTCTTTGATGCTGGAGAACCCGTTGACCGCCATTTGGTGCTTTGCCTCTTCATTTGCAGGTCATACTGGAAACACCAGTGTTCACCCTGGGCAATGATACTGTTGATGAACATGGAATCCTTCTGGGCCTTGGGTAACAAATCAGCACAAACTGAAGCTCGCATCTCCTTCTGATCCTGAGTGAGTGTATGTGGGACTAGCATGGCACTGAGTTTTTGTTTACTCAAGTTCTCTCAAAATTTGGTGGCAGGTTGATTTACTGATATTCAGGGCATCAGCTAACATGTGCACTGTAACAGTATGGTCTTCCCGTACAATGTCTCTGATGCGAACCACGCTGTCTTTGTTCCGGGAACTCAAAGACCAGCCTGATCTTGTGTCATCCTCCACCAACACCCTGCCTGACACTAATCGCCTGTGCCATTCAAACACTTGTGGCCAAGATAAAGCTTCATCATCGTAGGCATCATGCAGAAGCTGCAATGTCTCTGTGGCTGTCTTGCCCAGCTTCAGACAAAATTTAATGTTAAGTCGCTGTTCAAACTGAACGTCCATTCTTCTCACAGCACAAATCCACAACTGACAATTGACACGGGTTTTCCACCATTCCCTGCCGCCTAGTGGAGGTTGAGTGAACAAACGTCAATAACACGGGCAAGCTGTAAGAAGTCCCATATTTAAAACACCTTTCCCCGGAATTGCCACCATTTACCTAAGCCAAGATATAACATCAGTCTCGGAACTTTATGGACAAAGGTTGTACTTAATGTGATTGTTGCATGTTTCACCAGCAATAAGGATCATTACAAACTTTTCATGTAATTGTGTTCCAACAAGGAAAGAAGCAAATAAAGCAGAAATAGTGAAGTTCAGATGTAAATAAAATTGCAGTTTGGCACAGGAACCGTGTGTGCTCGATGGTCACTGCTGTATAGACACTGGTAATTTGCATCATGTTCATGGTAAGAAAAATAAGAATACTACTGACTGCTATTAAACTTGCATAACTTTTTTCTTTTTATGCATTAGATTAAAATTTGATAATATGAGTCAAATACAGTTTAAATAGTACAGAATTTCTATAAACCCCACAAATTTCCACTTGTGTTGTGACAACAACAAATATTTCTTCTTTAATTTGGATGTTATTTAGTTCTAGTTCAAAGCAGCCTATAACACAAATTTATCAATTTTTCAAACTTTTATGAATTATTTTTACAAGAGACTGCCCTTAAATGTGTGTGATATTGTGGTTCCACTAAACTTAAAAATAGGTTGTTACCCACTCATGGGCTCTTGCCTGAACAAGGAAAAGTAATGAAGTGCAGCAGTTAATATCTGACTTTTCATTCTTACCTTGAGGTGATTAGGATGAGGAGGTTCTGGTTCTCCAAACTTCTGGCGTCGTTCCTTTGCTCGGTCCCGGTACTTCTTATTCCTCTGTTGAGGATCATTTGGATCCAAACCACGGACATGATACCAACTTTCCAAATTCAATTTGTGTAAGTCTGAGAGCTGCTGATGCCTGCAAACATGATGTGCTGTTACATTGCATGTACATGGAACAAATAAGAACTGATATAATATTGAGATATGTAGGCCATTTCTAGGAAACGACTGGCAAACATATTTCTGTGGACATACAACACTTGGACACAAACCACCACTGGGTGTTAAACAAATATATTCATGGATACAAATATAAAAGGTGTATACTCATGGTACCCAGACATTGTTGTGGAAGCAACAGGTGTAGTCGTCGATGCCAGAGAGCCATAAACACTTCCTCAGAAACAACACTATATATGCACCCATCCAGATAAGAACGAAGTCATTCGTAAGTCAGTCATAATTCAAGGCATGTGCAGTAGAAAGGAGAACCAAGAACTAAATTAGAAGTGAGTGATTTGTAAAGCAGTACCAACCCAGTCACAGTAGAAAAGAAGACAGTTCTAGTCCAGTCAGAATGGAGTGAGTCTTAGGCAGTCATTTATTGTGAGCTGTTGTAATTGATTGTCATTATGAGAGACTGTAAAAGAAGATAACAAATGTAATCATCCAGTCCAAACCTGTTATTATTAATCATGCAAACACCTAATACGTGTCAACTGGTGTCAGAATTGGACGGATTGGAAACTGATTTGTATCCTGATCGTTACACTGCAACACCATGGAACTGCAACAAATAACGAAAATGCTGGCCAAGATGGTAGCCAGCCAGGAACAGATGATGGCAGAAACTAGAGCATGGTGAAGAGATGATGGTCTGCCAAGAAACTACGGAGTCATGTCCAGAATCAAGGAGGCAATTCCAAAGGAAATGCAGTTTGAAGCAGAGCATTGGGAGGTCCCCAAGAAGCACGCCACAGTGAAATCTTCTGGAGCACTAAAGTGGTAAAGAGACCAGAACCTAGCAGCAGAACGCTGCTGTAAGCCTAAGAATGGGTCCCAAAGGAAACTGACTGTTGCCCAAAGAGGGACAACCCACGATGAAGGAGTGGCACAGTGCAAGGTACACGTCAGGAAGAATCAGACTAGGGACATGGGACATGGTACTTCAAAAAGAATGACATGTGGGAGGGGGCATCAGTCAAAACCGGAATGCAAAAGTGGAATTATGGGTGAAGGCATAAGATGGCAGCTGCGTCTTAAGAATGAGAAGACAGCTGGCTGAATCTTCTGACTGGAGACTGTGAGGTGAATTGCCAGATCTTCGGTCAGGTTATGAAAAATCAGGTATAGGACACTGTGGTGGGCTCAGCCCCACCCGAAACAGAAGATAAACCTACTTGCAGCTTCAGCATAAGAGGAACCAGAAATGTGGGAGCACTGGCCACTCAGGACAGTTTTACCCCCACTGTTGGAAAAGAGAAACACAGTATGATGGTGATACACCTGGATCTACTGGCATCTTATCAGGAAGCCACTCAGAGCAAGTGGCCTTAGGGAGGGAACAATGGTAGTGGCTGGAGAAGCCACCACAGAAAAAAAAAATGAGCAATCTGAAGGAAGGTGAGATGTCATGAGCAGAAACCTCAGGAAGGAAGGAAGGAAGGAAGGAACACTGATACACCGATAGGCTACTTGGGACGAACAGCATTAAGGATAGGGCAATGTGACATGTACGCCATTTCAAGGAAATGAACACAAACCATCACTGGGTGTTAAATAAACGTGTCCATGGGTATGAAAATGAAAAGGGCAGACTCATCGAAACCAGAGTGTTGCTGCAGAAGCAACGGGTGTATCCGCGGATATAAGCACGCAAGAAACACTTCTTGGGATACCACAACACTATATAAGCGTCTATCCAGATAAGAATGAAGGCACTGTAAGTCAGTCATAATTCAAGGCAGTCGCAGCAGAAAGGGAAACCAAGAACTAAGTTATTCATAAATCAGAAGTGAGTGATTCATAAATCAGAACCAAGTCAGTCACAGTAGAAAGGAAGACGGTCACAGTCCAGTCAGAATGGAGCAAGTCTTAGGCAGTCATTTACTGTAAGCTGCTGTAATTGCCTGTGATAAATAGGATTATGAAAGGAGTTAATAAAACCAATCACCCAATTCAAAACCATTATTATTGGTCATGGAACCATAAATATGCTGTAAGAAGATTTTATCTTCTTAACGTTTTCCTCAGTTCATAAGAAGATCCCTTACAATCAACCTACAGGTGAATCCCACTTAGAACATAATGTATTGTAACGTGTTTCGCCACTGAAGATGCCATTCAGATTGTTAATTGGTTTATTTAACAACCTACAAATCATAACTACGATTCATTATGACAAGGTTGCGGGTTTACACACTTTACAAACCCTACTCACAAATCTCTTCACACTATCACGATTCACTCGTTACAACTGAACTCGGTGACTACTACAATTTAACTGTCTTTGGGGGCTGCTACATTTTAGCTGACTCCTTAGGCAGTGCAGTTCTCCTGTAAAACCTCAGCCAGACAACGGAAAGCGCCTAGCTTCCGTTGCCTAGTCGCCTTGTTTACAGGTGTTGCTGGGCAATGCTGTCGAGAGTAGTCTCCTGCTGCATAGCAACTGCGGTATCCCCCACTACGTCACTGCTGTCACCTGCCATGTCACAGCGGGAAGCGCTGCCACGTCACTGCGGGAGAGGGAGCAGAGCCCTGACTGGCCTGTCACTGTAGTAACAGCGGTGCTGTTACACCACCACTGGAAGGGGAGGGGGCACCCTGCATAGCTCAAATACATCACACTGCTCCCTCTTTAAGGCTGTTTGTCCCGAACAGCCTAATGGTACATCCCTGTTCCTTTTATTTGCAGGCTGTTCTTGCAATGTCTTCTTTTTTGTCCGGCTATCCTCCATCCATTACATCCGCTCCCCTCTTAAGACCAGCTCTTCTCGAGCGGTTTCCTATTAACTTGCTAGAAGATCCAGTTGTATCACATTCACTCCCCACTTTCCTCCATCGCACATTCACTCTCTCTGGGGAGGCCAGTGCTTCTATTTTGCCGGCTCCTCTTCTTTGCTCTGCTTCTTTTTCGTTTTGGAGGGGGTCGACCTTTCCATAGTGTCGAGTTTTTGATGTTCGTATCTGCTGGGATTCCGTGCAGCATGTCTGCTTGTGCACTTGCACATGCCTCAAATTTTCCTTTCAGGATGAGTCCTTGTGTCGTCCTCTCATGTTCAAGTTCTTCTCGTGCTTTCTTTGACACATCTTTATGCGGGCTTGTGTGTGACTCCAACTGATCTCCCTGGAGTCTGAGTCTCTTGCGCTGTGTCACATTTGCACAGCTAGTCATCCTCTTGTCGGCCACGATCAATCGCTTCCTTCCGGGTCCACCAGTTCCCTGAGTAAGGTTCTTCTTCATGACGTCTCTCTTGTGTCATGCCACTGTTGCACAACAGGACATCCTTGTGTCACTTCTCTTCTGCGGTCCACACTTTTCTTTGGGTCCAAGATTTCCTGAAGATATTCCTCTTGAGCCATGCCACTGTTGCATGGCGGGACACCTTCCTGCAGGAGGCAGCGAACTTCATCCGGGATCCACAAACTCTTCAGGTTAGTTCCTTTGGCTCTCCACATCACCCTGCAACTTGCTTCTTGCCCCTATACCGCTTCTTCCGTCCTTTGACCAGTTTCACTACGGCATCCTCGTTGGGGAACTCTCGTTGTTGGGCCACCTCAGGTTTCATTTCCACTGAGGTCGCCTCTTCTTCTTCTAGACATGCCTCCATCTCTTGGCAGGCCATCGTCTCTTTTCTGGTATCGTTGTTTCTTCTTCAGGTTCTACGACCAGTATCACTATGGGGACCTCTTCTTGTTGTGCCGCCACAGGTTTCGTGTCCACTGAGGCCGGCTTTTCTTCTTCTAGGCGCAACTCCGTCGTTTCTTGGCAGGCCATCGACATTACATCCATTTCTGGTTTGATTACAGCCACCATCTCCTTGTGGCTGGTGCCTATATTTTCTTGCATGGCTCTCGTCCTTGCTTGGATAGCTTCAATTCTATGTTGGATTGTCTCATCCAATTCTGACCGCATAGATCACATTGCGGCCTTCATCTCTTCCTTGTCGGCTTTTCTGTCAGCTTTCATCTCTTCTCTGTCGGCCTTCCTATCGGCTGCTGCCTTTTCTTGGTTGGTGTCTAATTTGGCCATTAAATCTTCTTTGTCTGTCTTCCTATCAGCCACCGCCTTGCTTCCCTATGGCCTAGTCGCCTTGTTTACAGGTGTTGCTGGGCAATGCTGTAGAGAGTTGTCTCCTGCTGCGTAGCGACTGCTGTATCCCCCACTACGTCACTGTTCTCATCGGCCATGTCAACGCGGGGGAGGGGGCAGAGTGCTGACCAGCCCGTCACCATAGTAGCGGCAGCGCTGTTACGCCACCACTGGCGGGGGAGGGCGTGTCCTGCATAGCTCAAATATGTCACAGTATTCTTCAAAAATGTGTATGTTGAATGTTCAAATTTGTTTATTTTTATGTTTATGTTTATTTTTTCATAAGCTATATCATTAAATTTGTTAAGGTTAATTTGTTAAAATGTGTGTAAGGATGGGGTTGTATGTTCATTAAGCTAACTGGGAGTCGCATTTTATTACTCAGTTGTTTGTATATACAAATTATTCATTTCTTCAAAGTTCATAAACAGGGGTTGACCTGTACCACATTCATGAAAAAAAATCCCATTTTAATATAACTATATAACCACAACTTTAGAATCCAGAATTCGAGAGAACTATTTCCTACAAGTTCCTACAGCTTGATTTTGGTTGTGGATAAGGACAGATACAAATTACAGTAAAAACAGCTACTGATTGATTAGAGCTCATAACAAGGATTTAAATTAGTGTGGCAAAAATCACTGGATACATCAATCCACCCCTCCCATGACATTCATAGGCTTTAAGTGGAACAAGAGTCTGTTCCATCCTTTACATATGTATTTTCCACTTGTCTCCATGTTCTGTAACTGTTTTACATAAAGGGAAGATAACCAACAGCTTTACGTCCTAATTTCTTAATTGATTTGTCCCAGTGAAAC